CCTTGAGATGGTACAAACCTCTAGCTATTTTGTTTTACATATATTTCACAACATTTGGAAACGTGTTGCAGAATGTTTTAAAGTCCAGCCAACATAGTTCATCAACAACTTCCAAGGTTTGAAAGAAAAAAGGGGGCTTATCTTTGTCTGCAGTACTTCATCCTCTACTGAGAGACCGCACACCACCAAGACAGAAAAGATCTCTTCACAAAAAGAAAAAGACCAAAAGAAAACAAAGATATAAAGCAACCACTACCACAAATCCAGATTTGTATTTTTCTTCCAAATTTGAAAATAATCTAAGTGGATATACAATGCTAAAAAGTAGTAACTTTGTACTCAGAGCAAGAAAATAAAAGAGTATTTACTACCTCCCTTATCCACATTCTGCCCCAATTACAGTTTCTTGTAATATAGGCATACAATGGGAAATGAAGAAGGGTTGCATGGAAATAATATCTTCAGAGACTGACTTTCTTGAAAGTTATAGCTCACTACTTTTAGTAAAATGTCAAGAATGATATAATCCATATGTGGATTAATATGACCTCACAGGAATCTTTGAAATCATAGATGCTGTTTTGGAAACTGTTACCTTGGTTTCTACAATCTTTCCTTAACATCCTCTCCTTACTCATACAGTAAGGATTCTTGATAAAGAGTTCATTTTCCATTCTTTCAAGATAAAGGTGATCCTGAAGTGATACTAGGTTTCTACTTCAAAATGTGTTCCCACTTTATACATATTTTTATTAATATTCTTCCACTTAAACCAGATTTTTGCTTCAATCCAATTTAATCCAGAAGCAGCATGTTACTTATTTTGATGATTAAACTCTAATCTGTGCTGACACTGTCTAATGATTTAAAATCATTTCTACACCAGAATGTGAGATCAATACTCATAGGAAAAAAGTGAATATGTATTTTGAGATCTTCTGTGGAAAATGTAGCTACTTATATTTATAAGTCATTTCCATCTTGCTTAAATCCTACTTCTCAAATAATTTCACTATTCTTTTTTATTCTATAGGCTTGTCTGTCTGAGTTACACAGAAACATCTAAATAAGGTGAAAAAGCATCAATAGATTTATACTTAAAAAGCTGAATTGTTTTAACGACTACATTGTCATATAGATTTAAAAATTGTTGATATCACTTGATAGCTTGCACTGAGGAAAATTAAATTCATTTTTGATAACAAAACAGATGACAAACATAAAGAGATATCTGTATAGGAGAAAAAGAGATTGTCAGATTTGATATGGATTACTTTCTTACTTTCTTTCATTGAAAGGTGACTTGTAAGTCTATTCAGTCAAATTGAATCTGCTGAGATGTCTACCAAAACAATAAATTCACATAGAGAAAGACATTTAGGTTTTTTTTAAACATTTAGGTTTGATGAAGATGCATTATGCTGCTTAAACAGTGTTGTTTATAATTCGTAAGCTAATATCACTGCAACAAAGTTAGGTTGAATAGTTTCAAAAATACAATGACACATATTATAATGTCCTCTAAAAATCAGACAAATATATTTTTTATAGGAAAAGTAATTATTAAATCAGTTGTGACACTGGGTTCTTTCTTTAATTTAGTGATAGGACTACACAACTTTTCTCAGGGTAGTAGCAAATTTTACTTTCCAGTGAAAGTGTGTGACATTCGAGATGTTTCTCAGTTCTAAGATTTCATGACTTTAGAGTTCGTGTGCTAGAAAAGATCTTCCATGTTTAATGCTATGATTTTACTTTGCAGATTAGGATTTAGATTCAAATAACTTACTAATTGTATACATCTATGTTTAGGTGCATATCTTTCCTATTAGGAAATACATACCCATCCAACTTTTTGAAAGTATTTTTTATTTTTATGTTTCATTATTCTTCCTCAATGAACCAATGAAAAAATCATTCATAGCATGATAGTTTGAAAGACACTGTGATTGCTGCTGCTTTCCCTGAGTCAGAATTTCACCCATAAAAGTTGAAAACTGAGTACTGGGGTACTATGAAAATCACAGGTTTGATTAAACATAGTCCTTAACCTCAAGGATTTTAAAGACTACCATGAGATGATAGAATTTACAACGGCTCTCACAAAATGTTTTTCACCAACAGTTGCAGATTCCAGCACTCTGAAGGACTATGTCACTCACAAGTAGGCCATATTTATTATTCAGATTCTTCTTAATACAAAATTCTTCAGTTTCATTCTCCAGTCTCGGGCAGCCCAGTCACCCCGCTAATCAGCCTACACTTTTAGGAGTTCCAAGAGTGCAAACTGAACTGCTTTTCTTCCTCCACAGAGATTTGCAATCCCATTTGTTTTTAAGCTTTTTGGACGGAAGAAAAAAAATCTTGGCTTGACATAAGAGCTATGCTTTATGGAAGTTTTGGAAATTTTAAATTGCAGTCAAGATCCCCACTTGCAGGTGAAACATTATCTGTTCATCTTGTCGTTACTACTGACAGTTTTGGCGGAGGTTGCAGTTAAGAAAAATGCTGGAATGAACCTGGAAACAGTCATATGTTCCTCATCCATCACCTCATTAATCACAAAGTTAACATTGTCTCTAAAACAATGTTGCTTTATTGTAGGATAATAGCCTTTATAGTTCAGGCTACTAAACAATATTCAAGAATCCAGATTCTCCTCCACATCCTGCCAAGTGGATGGGGCACAATTGTGACATTGTTCCCTGATAATCAAAATAGAAAGAAGGACTCTGGCAATAACATCTTTCCTATAGTTGGAGTAGAATGCGCTCCTAAGAAGTTCCATGCAGACCCATAATTATTATTTGCATTTTCCTTTTAATATTTTATAATAGCTTATGTCTAGATCCATGATCCTTTTAAAAATATTAACTTTAAAGGTCTATGCTTCACCTCCGCCCACCGATGACCATGATATCTAATACCTCATCTTCAGCTTACAGAGTTGTGAGGTATACCAGTATGGGATATCAGTATGAAGCATTACAGAGGAAATGGGGAGATGATAATGCTGACAGTTGTGTGTTATTCTGATTTATGGTCCCAATATTCTAGAAGTATAAACAACCCACTTGCGAAACATTTTTATTTTGGGCTACATATATCACTAAACCCAGAGAGCAAATGGGTCTCTGTGAGTACTTAATTTCCACTCAGAGGTAGTTGGCTATCCCAATGGGGATGGGGATTTAGCTCAGCGGCAAAGCGTGTGCCTGGCAAGCACAAGGTCATGAGTTCAGTTCCTGGTACCGGAGAAAAACCAAAAAAAAAAAAAACCCAAAAGATATGATTGTGCTTCTAAAAGTGATTTAATTTAGATACAAGATGAGAAATATATTTAGTATTTAGAAAAAATTTTATATGTGTTTATAATAAATGAAATTTCTTGACTACTCTCTCTCCACAAAAAAGCATACATTTAAAATAAAAATTTGTACGTGTAGATATTTCAAGAAAAAAATGTGACTTTTATCTCCATTAAAGCTATTGGCCTTTTGCAAACTGTAGGTGAGTATCTGCTAGTCACACGATGAATGGTGCAACTGATATGTTTACTTTTGTATAGCTGTAAAAATAAAATTGGGGAGTGACTGAGACAAGGTGGGAAAGATTTTGTTGTTTCCATTGTTGTATGTATTTGAATAAAATTTTAACAAACTTTCCTCAGTTGCTATATATTAAGACCAATTTGTATCAGAGGGAGGACTTCATTCTAGGTCACTGCAATTTCATTTCATGTAAATTTATCAAACCAAACTAAGTTGTTGTACCCATCTTGTGTAATGTGCATAACAAACAACCCATGCATTCCCAACTAAAAAGCTTATTTTCAAAATGTTTTGTATTAATATGTAAAAATTTGGGAAGAAAAACAAAGCAGGAATGTAATTAGAATTTTTAATTTATTGAACTATTATGGTATTTATATTAAAATAGAATATAAAATGGGTGGTCAAAATATATGGTGAACGTTTAAATTCTTAAAAATTATTACAGTAAAAGACACATTGCCACTCATCCTTTTCAAAACACTCCTCTCTTTGAATGTGCTTATCCTGTCATTCTTGTCTCTTTCTGAAGCAGTTCTGGAAGTGTTCCTTCATGAGTGTCTCTATACAGTATGATAAGAAATATGGTGAGTGCTGATGCAGATGCCACCCCATGGAAAAGCAGGCTCATGGAGTCATTAGCATGCTTTCTCACCTATCTTATTCACTGATCTGGCACCATATAAGTTCTGGCTTCTTCCCAAAGTCAAATTGACCATAAAAAGATAAAAACTTTGAATCAACTCAGGACATCAAGGCAGACATATGGGAACAACAACCAACACTCATAAGAGGACTTCCAGGCCTGCTTCAGACCATGGCAGGAGCAATGGGACAAGTGAGTCTGAAATGAGAGGGAATAGGAATATACAGAGATGAATGGAAATGATAATTTCCATTTACTGTGATAATATTTTAAAATTCAAACATTCAATCTAATTTTCAGGCACACCTCATATACTAGATATTCAAATAAAAACAAAATTTTAATGAACTTTTATCCCTTAGTTCATATTATTAAAATTTTGAATAGTGAAATCATCCATCTCCATCCATTGTACCCCAATGTTCATATTTGTGTAAGATTTATATATATATATATATTATATATAAAATCTTTAAATATATATTTCATTTGAATGAAGATTATTTGAATCTGAATTTATATCTCTAGTGCATCTTATCATGTATGTCTTCTTAAGTATCACCTTATCATGTATCATGTACCTCCTTATCATGTAATATAATTATAAATACATTTATGGATTATATATAAACATATACATACATTTATGCTACATACATATTTGTAATTATTAAATATTTATTACTTAAACATACTTACACATGTTCATTACATTAGACAATTGCTATAAATGTGACTTTTACCTGTAGTAAAATTGTTAATATAGGAAATTGCAGACATGAATGGTGTTATCTTTGAATATACCTAAAGACAATCTTACATTCAACAGAAAATATTCTCTTGGTACAATTACTTTGGTACCAAGTACCAATGCCTGGTACTATCATCATCCAGGTCAAGAATAAAAGTAAAAGTAATGTTCACATTGTGTTGCTGCTTGCTGAACATTACAACAGATGTAACAGCTGTCACAGTATATTCACAATCATCAGTGTGGCTTAGCAACTGGAGCCAACCCTCAAGTGCAGTATCTTCTTGAGGGCTGCCCCAGAAGCACATGAGAATTTAATGAACTGCCCACCTTGTTCGGCCAGGAACAGGGAGGAGAACTGTGGTGAGTAGATCAGTTAGGAAATCTTGTTAAGTTAGCTGAAGGAAGAGGTACAAATGAGAAACAGACTATTAGGTCTCCTGAGGTCAAAGGGGAAGCTGAGTTTGTGTGGGAGGCAGTGGGGGCTTACAGAGGTCAGGGGTGGGACAAATCCTTCACCAAGAATCTCCGGAACAGGCTTTCTTGAAAGATGGCTGTTTTCCTAAAACAAGAAAATATAAAATCACTCTTCAAACAGGATTAAATAGTTTCATCTTCTATTATATTTTCTTTAGCCTGTAGAATTATGAATAAGACTTAATGATTTCAAATGTAGATTTATTTAACAAATCCCATAACTGTCTCAGAAATAATATCCAAAAAATACAGATACCTGTTATTTAATATGGTGCAAATACCCTGTGTAAAATTCTGGATTTTCTATTTGTCTGGAAGAGCCATTATAGACACAGTGTCGGGGTGTAAATATTTTCAGGAATCCTACTATTATTAAATTTCCATGCACCATTGTAAAGTTTTAGTCTTTTTACATATATTTAAAGTGCCTTTCATTCTTGTTTTTTTAAAGAAGGATGAACATGACAATGGCTTCAGTTAAACAAGCTTAATTAAAAGACAAAAATACCCAAACAATAAAAATAATATGACTGATTATACTCTGGGACACATCCTGTAGCTGCCATTCTGACCCTCTTTTCTAATGAATTAAACCTCAAGTGTCTGGCCAAGTCTCTCTCCAGCAGAACCCTTTGCTCTTAGGCCTTTAACATTCCCTCAATGTACCCTTTTGCTGCTCAATATCTTTCACATGTCCACATGGAATCAGGAAGGCCACAGTAAATTCAACATCTATTAGGCATGTAACAGTACAACCTTTCACTGTTGTCTGGATTGTGCTTTCCATGTAAAATCCCCAGAGACTTATCCAATGAATAGGATTTATATTCTTCTATGCTTTGTTATATATTTTAAAACGTGGCTATACTATAAAACTGTTTTGTCCATTTTTCAGGATATTATTAAAACAGTACTTAAGAATCATCAGGTCCATGCTACAAAACTCCATTTTGTACTCCTAATTTATATGTGCCTTGCTAAGTCATTTCTAACCATTGGCTTCCTTTCCATTTCCTTGTTAACCTTATCAACTTGTGTTTGCATTTTAGAAGACAGATAATTTGGTGAATGTAAAGTAAGGCGCTCGAGTTTATAATTTTGCTTGGAAATGACTTTATCCTTCATCAAGTACACTTTACTTAAAATGACTGTACTTAAGGGTGCTTAAATAGTTCACAAACATAAACGTATTTAGTTTTGTATCAGTATTATGCTGTACTTTCTTTAATCGGCCCATCTAGTAAATGAGGAAATTGCATGACAGAGAATTCAGTGGGACAGCTCGACAGTTGCAAAGCAGAGATACAAAACTGAGACAGTCTAGTCTAAAGTCTCCCTCCTTAAATAACTTTTTATGACCTCTTCATTTATGAAACTCTGGGAAATTTCCTTTCCCTTCCCTTCCCCTCCCTTCCCCTCCCTTCCCTCCCCTTCC